ATCCTTTAAAAAATGATCTTGTTCTCAATCGTTTCTTATTGTGCCAGGTAGCACAATGAACGATAAATAGCTATCGTTATTCATCAGGTCCGGAATTAGGAGAAAAAATCTCTAGATGGCAGTCGCTTAAACAAATTGTACTTCTGAACAGCGGTCCATTTTATCAGGCAAGTGTATTTTTGAACAATAAATCGAGGTAGAGACTGCACTTCAGTAACTATTCATTTTCAAAATTAATAGATGAACTCACTACCAATCAACTGAGTTAAGTGCTGTCGTGTACTCCTGTTTTATAATCACTGTAGCGAACAAAGAACCATTATATTGGCTTAGCTTACCAAACAGGAAGTCGTTTTTATACATTTTTTTTCAATGGTCGTGGTTTGTGAACTCAGTAACTAGTCACCATAATTACCTAACCTTTTGACCTAATTAGGTTGTACTGGCCTAATAAAAACGTGGCATCAGTTCATGAATCTTCCGACTGTGAGTTCGAGCCCTGTCGACATCTTAGTCAGAGTCCAAGTAATAACCGAAACTGGTGGTTAGAGACTATGCGATACGGCTTAGAACTAATCTCAGTGGTGCAAATGCATGTGTACACTTTCTCCATAGTAATCTTCATATCGCACCTCCTCATTGTTTTGCCTCCTCATCTTTCCTTCTAATGACTCTAAGGTCATCAGAAGTTTTCTTTTTCTGTCTTTCATCTTGTTCCTTTTTATTTTGACGAAGTGATTTAAAGTGTGTCAGCTTAGATTGTTACGCAGTAATGCCACGTCCCTTATTGATATTCAGCAACTGTACCCTATGGAACGACTGTTCTCCAGATCTTCCTATGCAAAGTAAGTTTTTCGATCAGAAGTAATCATTGTGATGTGATTAGAAAGTGTAAGTGAATTCAGTACTGTCAGCTAAGTAGATGCACTAGGACAAGATTCGTTTCCATTGGTCATCTGGCATTCCTAGGGATGCTGCTTTTTTATGTTGAAAGGTTAGTTTTAGATAAGTTTCCGTTCAAGGGATACTGTGTCAGTTGTTGCACCGTAGTAATATGCAACAGGCATGATAATGCATCATGTTTATCAGAGAAAGTCAACACCGCATGAAGCTGTACCAATTTATCTCGCGAAGTGGAAAACTGTTATTATCTCTATTTCCCGGACATACTGCTGATTAGATCATTTTACAGCGAACGTACTTGGACCAGACAACTTCATTCCTACAGTTTCTGTCCACTGCATTCTAGACGGGGTCTGATTAAGTATTTATTTAAGAGCAACTAATATATCTGCAAAACAGATACACAGGAAGGAATCAAACTTAACCAAGACATCAATGAATAAAACATCTTTTGGAATTCACCAGTCGACGCAAAACTACCAAAGGTCGATATCTCAGTGTCTCGTCTCATAAATTAGTCAGACTTTTCATTCAACTAAAAAAACCACCGCCCCAACATGAGCATCATGCTACATAGGCAAGTACTGTACATGAATTCATTTGTATGTCTAGATACACATATTGGGAAGGGTCGTCGAACTGTGAACAGGAAATGGTGAAACGTACACCCGAATGGCTGAGAATAAATTCATTGGGGCAGACAGGGATGATTGTATGTCCGTGAAAATCTTATAGAAATGGGTCGTAGGATTTACTTCAAACAGACTTTATAAGGTATCATGATCGTATAATTAGGTTTGCTGAAACATGCAGCAGTTAAAATATCTTTAGTTACAGTCACATGGCTTTTCAAATGATAACCAATAGCATTATTATATCAGTCTCGGTAAAATAGGAGAGGAATAGTGGATGAAAATGCTAAGAAACATTTAACTATCACATGCAAGCAAGTACTTCTGGCTAGACATCTCCAATTTCCACAAATTATGTCGTATACCCAAAGAGTATCCATACAATCAGTGGTCGTATCGCTTTAGTTATCAGGCCAAGATAAATACCATAAATTATGTCTCACCATCCTACTTTCTGTGGAGTCACAGTAAAAATGATTTATTAGATTAGCTTTTATCAACGGTCTTATCTCAGAGTACGTTTTTAAGTCGCATCAGCGCCTCATTTTATCCCCCCTAACTGCTAGTTAACTTTGCATGCCGTTTTTATTGCTTGGACGTACACTAAGTAGCCAGCGCTAAGATATTAATTTGCTTGAACCTACTACCTTACAAGCATATCTTTTGAGAAATCCCTTGCTGTTTCATCTAGCTTAATTGTACTTAAGTACTTCTACTTGGTCTCTCTTTTAGAAACCTTCAAAGTGCGACCTGCGTGTACATGGTAACGTAGATAATGGTTGGCATATTCCATATTACAGTGGAGAGTTGAAGATTTTTCACGCTGCAGTTAACTCATGGCTTTGTTTACGTCGTCTCAAGTAAAGCTATTTTTCAAAGTAGAACTTCCTCTTTCCTCATCAACTGTACTTTATTACAAAGGATATCGAAAATCAAACTTAAAATCACATTTTTTGAGGTTGTGTTTTGTTTTCAATCCGTTTACACTATAGCAGACGTGAAGTAGCACAATAAGATTCGTGTAGTCCGGTTCGTATCGATTTATTACCAGTATATTTTAAATGTTAGACTGAAGAGCATGAATGTAGCCACTATGATAGACTAACTGAATAAGGATATCCCGTCATAAGCAAGTATGATTCACCATAATACTTGTGACTTAAGCGAAAAACCTCTACATTCAATATGCACCAGTGTTTGGGATATCCATTAAAGATAGTGAATACTGGTTCACTTCAAAGATGAATGATTAGAAGATTACTAGTAGGACAGCAATGTCTCACCAAGGGCATGTCAGGAATACTCGACTACTAAGTTATTCACACATCAAGTGTAAATTAGTCAGGATTTCTTCTGCAATTTAATAACATTCACTGGTTTATAGGGCTTGGCTAGTGATTCGGCAGTCAGACAAATGCAACCGCATGACTGTCTTTCTTAAAAACGATGGGTACTGGTTATTGAGATCATACAGACTGAACGTAATGACAAGAGTTCCCTTCGAAATTGTGAAGAATACCATTATTACACCACAAGCATCCTACTACCCTGCATTCTTTGGTACGGAGCTTACAATTTCAAAAGTAACATCTCGATCACAAAAGTGAAAGCGCACTTTAGGTAACGCAGTCACACACCATACCACTGTTTTCAGTTTAGACAAGAGTGCTATTCATGTTCGATACGTCCTTTTGAGATACTAGAGAAGACTTGTAGCTCAGGATGAAGATGATAGTGATTTGGTGTTGCCTGATCTTATTCCTTTCCCATCCCCTTGTTCTTTGTGTACTTCTGGGGAGTGTGGCAACTTGAACTGATGCACTCTTGTGCGAAGTTCTACGTTGATTTTGTCAGTCAGATGTTTCCTGATCTTTAATAACTGATCAAATAACAAAACTTCGAGAACACTAAACCACTGTCAGTCCTGCATTTGTTCGTTAACCACTTTTGTTGGGCACCTTAGTTTATGTTTAATTCCAATCTAAGTGTTTTCTAAAAAAAATCGCCACAAGCATTCTAGGAATGTTATGCAATAGGCAGAAATACCGTCCAGAATGAAGAGATTACGGTATGCTGCAATTCAAATCAATACAACAAAAAACAAGTCCAAATAACATTATCAATGGCCGGAGGCAGAAAAAGAACTTTAACAGTAGTAAAATGAATGTCGGCAAATGTAGAATGACAAAACTTTAAGGAATAAATGTGTATACCACTATGGAGTATTTTAAGCTATATCACTGTTTTCGAAAATTGGTTTCCATTGTTGAAAAGTCGTAGTTATGTAACCCATAATTTTTTTTAAACGACTCAGAACAGCAATGACTTCTACATCTAGTCACCCTTTTTCTTTTCTCTTACCTCTACTCTTGTTAGTATCAACTTTGCAGGCTAGGCGACAACCTACACGTAACTAATGCACACTAATACTACTGCAGTCGATGAAGATTCACAACCGTATTCAATACTCTCTTCTCACCGTTAAGATCGCTTATTCACCACAGGTTGTCTTAGAAGTGTAATTGCTCGGTTACCTGTAATCTTTGCGTATCATCCACAACTCTATAGCGACATACGGCAACTAGTAGTCGTTCTCAATGACTTAGTTTTACTCCATTTTACCGTTTCATAGAGATATTTTCTATTGATGGTGTCAAGCGACTTATCAATAGTAGATTCTATCTTTTTGATTTACTGTACAACGTATAAATAACCAGTCGCTTGTGCACCTGGGTTACATCTGGGTCAATCGTCGAACAATTTTACTCGACATTTTTTAAACACCAAGATGAAGATGCTGCTAGCCCGTTTTACTTTTGTTGGTTGTTTCAAACACAAGTAGATTAACGAACGAGTTTATTGTGGTCACTAGTTATGTTTAGTGGCGAACTTGGATCACAAGACTATTTTATAACTATTGAGATGGATACCCCTTGTGTAATTTCAGACCAAGTTATTTTCACAACTCTTCTCCCTACCTATAAACTTCGATTTACTTGTCGAAAATGTAACAATTATGAAACCAAACTAAGGAGTTATACTGTCTTTTGTGTAAATAGTAAAGTGACAAGAAAACTATCATTATCGCGAGGCAGGGAGATAAGACGCTCACACTCTGTCTATCACCTTCAGATGCATCTTATGGGTATCTGAATTTTAAAAAATACTAAAGTGGTCCAGGGTACAAGTAGCCTAGGACGAGGATGTTCAAGCAGAACCGCTTTTTCAGCTGAAGATTTGTACAGTACAGTTTTTAATAACACTGTAGTTACAATCTCTCTTGTAAGACATTAATTTTCAAATCGAACTGGAAAGTGTTATTATTGAAAGTTCAGTCCAGGGAATTTCAGTATGTAGAACATCTTCATGCGAAAATAGCCAACACAATTATTAGTCAACTGGATAGTTGATAACTGAAATGTCTGGGGACAGCAGCTACTATGAAGAATTAAAAGTACTTGAAATGAAAACACCCCACACAAAACATCAATTTATTTCCTTACAAAAAAAGTAGAAATAAGAAATGACAAAACTTCTTCAAACAAAAATAACTCTCCATTGCCAATAAAGGTAAAATATAAAGAACAACGCAAATGAATACATTGAAAACAATAACGGGAATAAGTCTGGGTATGCCTTAGGTGGTATGACAACTAGATCACCAAGAATTAAAACACTATAGCCAAAAAGGATGAGAAAGGTGGCATATAATGAGTATTTATTATTCCTACGTTTATCGCTTTTTTGTAAGGTCTTATCTTCTTTCTTATGTTGGCTATGATGATCATTTCTAAATATTATGAAACAACCTAGAATGAAGTAAACACATACTGAGCATATACTAGCTAACTGCAAGCCATCTTTCTTGAATAATGGCCACATACTAAGTGTAGAGCATAAAGAAAACAGAAAAGATGATGTCGGGTAAATAGGCAGCAGAAATAAACTGGGAATAGAAACTAACAGAATGGATTTCTCATGAACTTGAAACGAAAAAAAGTAGAAACTTAGTGCACATACAGTTAGTGAAACTAAAAACTTTTGTTGGTTCAGTTTCTTTAACAAAGCTAAACAAGATGGAAGACATGTGACTGACACAAGTAGGATACTAATCCATACAAGTTTTTTCGAGGATACTGATGATGATGATGATGGTGATGGGGAGGAAACAGTAAATAATGACCGCCATTTTATCAATGGGGATGTAGCACACCAGAAGTTGGACACTTTGTCTTCATAAATACCACGGTTCAATGGAAATAAACGACGGATAACTTGATATAAGACATTTTGATCAGCCATTATAAGAAATGGAGCAAAAATTATCGACATTGTTAATAAAACTGTCAAACTTAACTTGATTAAATGTGTTAAACTATGATGGATCGATTTTTTATGTATGCAGTTGCCTAATAAATAAAAGAAAATTGGCAATGCATGATATAATTCCATTTGCTTGTAGCCTAAGGCTAAACAAAATAACACAGAACCGAAAACATCCCATTTTAAAAGTAGCATATTTACACTAGCCATATATAAACCAAGACTGATACAATTATACTGAAAGTGTCCATGATCAATTAGTATAATGCCAGGATAGGTTAACATTAGACATACTGAATAAAATCCACTAATATGCTGTATTATATTGTTGTCTTTGATAATCTTAGGTAAAACATAATAGAAATACATCAGTACAAATGGTGTAAAAAAGACTAAATCAGCTATTAACACAGTATATCGCATAAACAGCTTATGCTCCTTTGATTCAAAACCTCTTGACGTATACAACTCGATCCAATTAGGATTTATTTGACCAGCTATTTTACCCATTAACCAACTATGATATGCAGTAATTGGTGGATAATCTAAACCCCAATAATACAAATCATTCTGCGTCGAATTTTTATACCATTCAGTGTAAGGTAGGTTAACAGTGATTTCCATCCAATGACGTTGAGCTTCATAATCACCATACATAGGCGGTTTACCTTCACCAGAATAAGAGTGTAGACTAATACATGAACGTAGACTGAATCCAATGAATACAGGTAGGCAAATTTTAACAAAGTCATCAGCATTCATATTTGTTTTGTGTATTCTGGTTTACTGAGAGAAAAACTCACTGAAAAGGAAAATAATTCAATAAGTTATGGACTATCGAGTAACATGATCATGAGCTACTTTACAAAGAAGTGAACTAATTCAATAGTCCATACGATATAAGATCTTCTTGTGAGAGAGAGTTCAGATTTCCTTTATAACGACCTGTCTCACTAGTTCACCGGAAAGAAGGAAAATACAGTTCCTATTTTCATGCGTTACATTCTATGGTCAATTTGTGCCTAATATCATCATATATTGAGTGATATGGCTTAGTGATAGCATCTCTTACTATGGCAATAACTGATGCAGCATAGAAGACCTTAGACAGTATTAGTCTCCGCACGCACTGTGATGAATAAAACTTAAAATGAAATCAGAAGAACAACAATGAGAGCAAGATAAAACGGATCCATTTTATTTTGGTGTTATCTTTTCAACTGCTTACAACTAAGAAAGTCAGAATATATAGCTTTATTGAGGGCTTGACATACTTTAATTCGTTGAAAGGAAACAAAATGTCAGTCAGTGGTTAAGATATACAGAAATAGTTATAGAGTAAAGGTCAAACATAACGGTAAATTCAAGGAATGTTAATAAATGGTAACAAGCTGCCATAATTATGTACATAATCCAGTGACTGAATGACGAAATCAACGTAGAACCTCTGATAGGTGTATCAAGTTGCCACACTTCACTGTAGTACACAGAACAGGTGGATAGAAAAAGTGATATCAAAGCAGATAAAGTAGTGTGAGACAATAAACAACCTGAAGATAAAGGTTAGCGCAAACATTTAAGCTTTATAAAGCGTCAAAGAGTGAATACATTTGCACCATTGTGACCGATTTTCTGCCATGTCACCAAATGTTCTCAATCACTGAATCCTTTTGTTTTCCCACACGTCTCAGACCAACAGTAAGAGACTTCATTGACTGATGCCACGTCTTGGTCCGGCCACGCTGAACACTCTTTCAACCTGGTCTAGCTTACTCTAGCATTGCACGTCCAGGTAGGTAGCGATTCGGCATGCCCCGTACATGTCCAAGCTATCTCAGTCGACTAAGGTTAACAACCTCATAAATTGACTTGGTTGTCTTGCCTAGCACCCTTCGCCTTACCTCGACATTGCTCACATAGGGATTCCAACAAACGTGACTAAAGCTACGAAGACGCCTGTGATCAAAACCCTATAACTGCTTCATGCCTTCTACTTTCAACGGACATGCTTCACAGCGGTACAACAGGACAGGACGGATTACAGTGCAGCGTACTCCTCCTTTGATAGATAGCCGGATATCTCGTCAGTCGGTGCCACAGATGATGCAAGTTAACAAATGCCAAACAAGCCTTCTGTATTCAAGCTGAGATTTCGTCAGCGACCATCAGTTCGGCGTGATGCAACTCCATAAATAAGTGAATCGGATGACACATTCCACCACTTTACTCCTTATCATTAGACTGGAGTACTTGCAACTGACCATTCCTGGGACATCATTTTACATTTGATAGGTGCGAAACGCATGCCAGTGGAACATACTCAGATTTGTACTCAACGTATCCTGTACTTTGTCAGCATCTTCACCCAACATAGTAACACCGTCTCCAAGCCATCACATGACGTTCAGGTAGTCGGTCAATCCCTGAGAACTCAGAGGTACCAAAGGTTATATCGATTAGTACACCTGTGACCAAGTTAAGTGGGAACGATGACAGTGAGCATCCCTGACGAACACCATTGGTTGCCGTCAATTCACGTGGCAATTCCCATAAGCCCTAACACGGCTGGGCGAATTCGAGTAGAGTTTTGATTACCGTTATATACTTGCTCGATACTTCCTTCAGTCTGACACTATCACACCTCACGGTCGATAGAGTCAAGTGTCATCTTCAGGTTAAGAAATATGACAAGTAAAAGTGGCCAGTAGGTATACTTGTATTCCAGAACCCGTCAAAGGATGAAAATATGATCGATGCATCCTTGTCCAGGTCTGAAACCTGCATAGTTTTCTCCACTTTGCACACCTCGAGCTCCAGTTAGGCGTCGGATAACTATGAACTGTAGGATTTTGGAATATATTAGTCAAACTGATTTCCCTACGGTTATCACAGGAAGATTCCTCTACCTTCTTATAGACTGGGATGATTAGCGAAGTGGACCAGTTTGATGTCACTACCTCTGATTTTCATACCCTACCTAGTACCTCCGTCACTTTAAATAGCAATCTTCTACCTCCACCCTTGAGAACTTCGGGTGACGAACTGTCAAGTCCTGATGCTTTGCATCGTTTCAGGTTTGATATAACCTTCTAAACTTAAAGGTGAGCTAGAGGACCGACGTCTACGTCCGATTCAGGCTGGTTATATGCTGGGTAACTGAAGCGTTGTTGAGCACCAGTTGAACTGTGCTTTAAAGTCTTTTGGTCAACGTTGTAGCATAGCCTTCCCTGGAAGGTTATCAGCGTCTCTTTAGTCTTCATCTAGACCGTATCCTAAATCACCCTAAATAGTTGCCGAGTGTTAATCACCGCCGTCTTCTCCATCTCTCTTGCTTTCGTTACCCACCACTGCTCGAGATCAACGCGAAGACTCTTGGTCAAATTACGTTTGAGATCATTTCACTCTCCATCGTGGTCAGAGCCAGCTGGAATCAGTTCTCTCTCACCAATCAGTTCGAGTGAAATCGCGGAAATCCGATGAGGTTCGCTAACGTTTGGGTGTAGTTCACCAAGTCTTTCCCGTTGTTTCGACAGAAAACGCCGTTTCCTCAGTATGACGATTGCTACCATGTTCAGATAAATGCTTAGCTAACTCCCTTCTAAATGTATACTTGGCATCCTCATCGTCCAATCGAGCACAGACAAGCTTTGTCATTACCTGTTTCCTGTGGCCAATAAGTTACACGTGGGCCTGTACTAGGGAGTGATCGAAGTTCAAATTGGTACTCCAGGAGCAGCGGCTATTCCCCACTGATCCACTCCAACAATGGCTTATAGCAATGTAATCTTCAGAAAAAAATTGCAACAGACGATCTCCGTTGTCATGGAATTCTGTAAATACCCCCAAGATGTCTTTCCAACTGGTTCAGCTTCCTCACTTGGCCATTAAAGTCACTTGCCATTACGACTACATCTACACTTTTTGCTTTCTGTTGCAAGGATCACAGCTTCTCATAGGATTCATTATTTGCATCATCCGAAGTGTAGCTGGCGGGTGTGTAGGCGCAGATTAAGAATAGGCATCACCTAGTCTTACCATCCTTTCCAGTCGTAACAGATCCATTCAGTCGAACAGCACATAGACGGTTATTTACTGGTATCTAGCCGAGGAGTTCACTTGCTATTCACGAGAGTTAGCCACTGGGTCTCCGGATACTCTTCAAATGAATTTTGAAGATTCCCCATTATGGCCAAGTGAGGTCAACTTAATAACCACACTCGGGTTCTGTATACATGTCTAACAGACACATCATACATCCATGGCTAAAGATTCTAGAGTTCTGGTGAGCGGTGCTTGCTGTCCGTCTCACAGAGTTCGGACGTTGAAAGCTCCTACATTAAATCGATGGCGAGCGCGGGAGCAGGGTCTTAGGGAACTAGGAATGAGGTTTCAATGGCTTTGGTCGTTGGCAATGGTTGCAGAGTGAGAGGTTAGGTAGGGATAAGAGGCTTAATATTAGTATCATCTGACAACTGCAGTTGACGCAGTCCGATTGGGTGAAATACTAAGACTGAATCTTCCGGACACCTCGAGTAACAATTTAAGAATGTTAAAGATGCATTTACCAGCGACCGAATGCGGATTTTGTCCCATGAATGACTTTTGATAGCGCCTCGTCAAACAGTAGGCGGTGAATTGGCTGAGTGTGGTGACTGCTCCGCTAACCTGGGAAGTCAAATCAGTCCTAGTGAACCACAGGTCGGCGAAATCTCCGCAAGAAGATTAGTGGTTTGGTAAGTCTCCGTCAATTTACACTATCTATCGCGTCGCCATGATATCAGATTGTCTGTTAAGCCCCTAGTTACAGAGCTGCAGTTTATTCTACCCTACTGCATGGTTTCGAAACACGACCATTAGACGCAGAAAACATGACAAGGCTTCAGGTATGCACCACCACTGCTTTCGTAACGTAGGCCGTGTCGTGATCCCACAACAGTGGCTAATTGGTTTAGGAAGTCGGTTTTCAGCCAATGGGTTACGAGTTTGAACGCCGCTTCACCTACTGAGGTTTGAGCAGCCAGCTGTCATAATAGGTGTGGATCATTGCCTACTGCACGAATGTGAACAAGGTTGCTGAGTGAGATTCGATTTTTCCGACATCAGTGATGTAAAAGTCAGGTGTAGAGTTTCGGGCAGAAAAAATTCAGTTAACGAACACTCATTGACTCAGATGGATGGGACATGTGTTAAGTACGTCTAATTACCGTTCGCATCGTCTCGCAATGTTAGCTGAAGTAGACTTCGGCTGCGAGAAGGTTAGATGTGGTCAGAGTAAAACATGAAATTAGTGCATGAAGTATTTGACTGTTGATCTGGACCGTGTAGGGAAATACGAGCTTTCTGGTTAGTATTCACATGACAAAACACATACTAAATTCTGTTGTGGCTTCATCCTCTCCTTTTACGACCCTTCTCTTTGTGCCTACAATCTTCATGTGCTGCTTCATGGGACAACTTGGACCGTTACACAGTAACGATAGGTTCCATATCGATACCGACTGATGTGTTGTATTCTGTCCTCTGCAACGTCTAGTTAGACCTCTACTACTCTCTTTATGTGAAACCCTTGGTAAGCATAGGATTAGCACAAACATATCTTTAAATATGATAAGCGAAATAGTTTCAACTAGCTCGCTCTTGAAATTTGCGATCGATAACTTTTGCATCCAAATATATAGCGTTTGGTTATCTCCAGATTTTATGAGGATACAGGTCTGCAGCCGTGGGAAGCTTATTCGAATAAGGTATACGTCATTTGCTTTCGTATAAGAAAGTGGATGGTTAACAGTAATGCTGGTATTGAGGCATTTTGATAAATTCACTTGCTATTAACCAGTCACTTCTCAATATGAAACAAATGACGTATACCTTATTCAAATAACCTTCCCAATACACCCTTAAGCAAAGCACAAACGGAGGACTGTGGTGTCCGTAAATTACAGGAGCTAGTATGAAAATTGACGAATAACCAATAGGTTACGCGTTCTACTAGGTTAGGGTCAGTAGATGGGTGGCTAAATCGTTACCAAGATCCTTAGGTGAGATAAGTAATAGAGATGGCTGCAAGGGGGTTAGAGATAATATTAATCTCAAAAATACACCATCATGTGCCAGCGTCGTTAGTAATTACATGTTCTGGAAGTCAGTTTTATGTGTTCGGAAGATTAATGGACCAGCATTAATCCCAGGTTAACTACGCTGGCTCTAGAAAATTGCCAAAAGAGATATCCCAAATTTTGGTGATTATTGGATTCGAAGAACTGGTAACTTACGAAATAATGAACTAAACTATGAGTTTTAGCAGTCCACACCAATAATTTGAGAACCAATCAAACTCAATAAGAATGAAACTAGACAGCTTGCCAACTAAGTACAAAATGTAACGCACATTCCTAACTATGCGCGCTTGTATGCAATATGCAGTCCTCTAATGCTTCAAATGATCGATAATGGAATAGAAGAAGCCATTGCTTAACTGGCCTTCGTGTCTAGAAAGTACAGAGAAGAGAAAAATGGCAGTTGAACTGGAAATCAAGTTAGTTCTAAGTGAGCTGCCACCCAAAAATGATTTGTAACAAACTAGAACACGATTTCCTCCAAACTATCCTCCGTGTCTAGAAGACACAGACTACAGCCCTTGTTGGTTGTTCACCTGTGTGTTAAACAAATTGTGAAAGAAAAAACAGGGCTAAGGAAGGAACGGTGGCTGTTTTTAAATGGTTCAAATGGTTCAAGTGTCCTTTGGCGCAATAGAAGCTTTCGCTTTACCGACTTCCACGACTAGAACTTTGTGATCACTAGTTCCTACGACTTTTAACCTGTTTACAAGCAAGCGGAGAGCGAAAGGTTATGGCTGGAACGTAAAAATCAATGTAGTTCTGAGTGAGCTCCCATCTACCTCTTAAGTATTTAGGATTTGTCCTGGTGCGAACTTGACAGATGCAAAGACCAGTCACTAATTATTCGGACTTGTTATATACCCACGAATACGAGACCAAGGAAGAACACGATAGCGTAGTCGGATGGAGTGGTATATTTGGGTGGTTGTGCCAAATTACAGATGCGTTCCAACTAACTGGCTAGAGAGTCGAGTACGAGTAGTGCAACGTAACACGACAGCGTGCCAAATGGCGAGGATGCTTGACCGGGTGCCTTCAGCTTAGCGAGTCCAGTTAAACTATCAAGGTCAGCATGAATGTCGAAAGTCGTCAGACCCTAGGCTATTGATTTTGGGGGAGTGTGTGACACTACAGATCACTCATCCCCTAGTGGGTTCGTGAGGACCCTAAGACGATACCAGCCGGAAGTAAAACCCAGAGGTTTCTCCACTGGTAAAACTCTTCCGATGGGCCCACTGCGTGAAGTGGCCCCTGGTTGTCTGAACTTATCCTAGGGTGTCGTGGCAATTAAATAATAAAATACAATTAATCGAATTGGACGTTGATCGCGGTCCTCAGTTCCCTTTGACGTTCCGTCCAGTGCTCGTTGCACCTGAAATGTAAACAAAAGTCTTTAATACCATGAAAACGTTTCGCAAATATGAGAATCACTTATATATAAACATATCGAAAAATAAAAATTTACGCTTATTTTCACCTTTTTTAAAAAGGTTTCATTATGTGGTAATTTGGGCTAGAAAAGAGCCTAAAGGGCTTTTCGTGTGTCGCGTGACTTTACACTTTTGACAAGCTAAGCACGACTGAGCCCACTCCTTAACGTCTTTGTTCATCCCAGGCCAGCAGAAACGTTGTGCGATAAGCCTAATGGTGGCTCGTACACCTGGATGAGAGAGTTTGTGCAACGTATTGAAGACGTTGCGTCGACAACTCTTCGGAACTATTGGGCGTGGTTGACTAGCAGAGACATCGCACAAAATTGTATCCTTGTCTGATCCAACCGGACAAAGTCGCAGTTTGAGAGTTGTGGACGACAACTCATGATGCAGCTCAAGGTCTTCCTTTTGACGCCGAGCTAGTTCAACGAGATCAACACCCTCGATATAGTTTATCGAAGCTATTCGAGATAGTGCGTCGGCTGCGGAGTTGTTTGCTCCAGAAATGTGGCGGATGTCTGACGTGAACTGGGAAATGTAATCCAGCTGTCGCGACTCACGAGGGGAGTATTTGTCAGACGCCGAGCTGAGGGAAAACGTTAACGGTTTGTGGTCTGTGAAAATAATGAAATCACGACCTTCCACAGAATGTCGAAAATGGCGTACAGAACAGTACATGGCTAGGAGTTCCCTACCAAATGTACTGTATCTTGTTTCCGCGTCTTGCAGCCGCCTCGAGAAAAAGGCTAACGGTTGCCACTGGTTGTCAGTCAACTGTTGCAAAACTGCTCCAATTGCTGAATCAGATGCATCAACAGCAATACTCAGAGGAGCATTGGGGTCATGATGCATAAGCATGGTTGCGTTCGAAATGGCTTCCTTGACTTTAGAGAAAGCAAGTCTAGCCGCGTTGTCCAGAGACACGAACTTCGCAGTTCCTCGAAGTAGATCTGTTAGTGGTCTCATGACAGAGGCACAGTTAGGGATAAACCTTCGGTAATAACTTACCAGGCCATTGAAAGTGCGGAGATGTTTCACAGTGGTCGGCTCTGGATAGTTTGTGATAGCCGCCACTTTATCTCTCAATGGGCGTATACCTTTGTTGTCAATGGTATGCCCAAGGAAGCTGAGTGATTCAACTCCTATTTCACACTTCTGTAAGTTGACTGTGATGCCATGTTTTTTAAGTCTTTCGAATGCGAGGTCCAAATGTTTAAGGTGAGTTTCCTTATCTGGACTCGCAATTAGACAGTCATCGATGTAGACATGAACAAAATTCAAACCACGGAAGACATCATCCATAAAGCGTTGGAATGTTTGTGCTGCATTCCGAAGACCAAATGGCATGCGCAGGAATTCAAACAGGCCAAAAGGAGTAATAATGGCTGTTTTCGCGATATCTTCTGCTGCCATAGGTATCTGGTTGTACGCTTTGACCAAGTCGATTTTGGAGAAAATGTTCATTCCGCATAAGGTTGCGGTCAAGTCGTAAACGTGGGTATCGGGTAGCAGTCCGGAGTTGTTTTGGCGTTAAGCCTTCGGTAATCACCGGTTGGACGCCAGTCGTTGCTATCCTTTTTGGGAACCATGTGCAATGGCGATGCCCAAGGACTGTTTGACGGTCTGATAATGCCCAGTTCGAGCATGTGGTCGAATTCATTTTTCGCCGTTTGAGCTTATCGGGGGCTAAACGGCGCTCTTTGGATGCCACAGGTGGACCTGTGGTTGTGACGTGATGCATAACATTGCTGGTTATGCACGGAAGAGTGTGCTTCGGTTGTTGTAACTCTGGATATTTCTCCAGAACTGCCTGGTAGGACGCGTCGCCTGATTGTTTAGTCCTAACGATGGCTAAACTCGGACCTACATAGGTGGTGCCGCCAATAGATAACTTTGTGTTGTTATCTATCAGTCGTCGACGGCGAGCATCTACGAGTAGATCGTAATGGTTTAGCAAATCTATGCCAATGATGGGCATAGAGACGTCAGCCAGGAGGAAGATCCAGTGAATAGGTTTGCGTAAACCTAAGTTGAGGTAGGCATACCGTCTCCCGAATGTCGCGATTGCCTTGCCGTTGGCTGCTTGAAGATTGAAGGATGGGTCAAGATGACGCTCCTTTGTCGTTGCTGGAAGAACGCTAACTTCTGCGCCGGTGTCGACGAGGTAGCGGACTTTCGTTTTAATGTCGGTGACGTAGAGCAAACGGCTTTTTCCGCCGGCTACGGTTGCCGTGAGCACGTGCCGGCGTGACCGTTTCCCGAGTTTGTGTCCTTCTTAAAACGGCATGGTTTACGACATTTTCTGGCTTCATCCCCGTAAGTGTTATGAAACCAGCACCATTCAGGGTTTTCCACCCTGTTGGGTTTCGTTTTAGGGCTACCACGCGACTTGCTGCGATGCGCCAAGGTGCGTTTCTGTGAAGTGCTACGTGATCTAGGACTTCGAGATCGTAGCAACCGTTTCACAGAGTTGCACAACTTGGTCACCTCTGAATCCTGGCGCTCTGGTTTGTCGCAGATAGAATATACGTTGGAGACGGGTCTGCTGGATATCTCCAGTATTTTATCTGCTGAGGCTGCCAGGTCGTCGAGTGGGACTGACTGCAGTGTCACCAACACGGTTTGCACCGGTTGTGGTAGTTTCGAGAGAAATAGTTCTCGGAAGAAACCATCGTCAAATGTTCGTGCACCGATTACTTCTCGCATGCGTGCGAGGACTTCAGTAGCTGAGTGGCTGCCTAGCTCGATGTTACGAAGCAATTCGTCTAGACGTTGGCGATCTGTGAGATCGCTTTTCTTCAAGAGTGCGGCCTTTAGAAGTGCATAAGGGTCACTTACTTCAGGATTAAACATGTTTGCTGTAACATACCTGTTTAATTCTCGCGGTAGTGAACGTATGACAGCAAGAAATCGAGAATGAGGATCTGAGACACCCTGTTCTCGAAAATCGGCCTCGGCATACAGAAACCATGTTTCTGCATTGTCTGGCCAATATGGCACGAGTTGGATCGTGTTCGTAGTCGGCTTAATACGAATAAGCTTGGGAGTGTGGTCGGACATGAGAAAGTGTAGTAAATGGATATATAAATGTTATCGAAATGAAAACAATAAACAAATATAAAATGGAACAGGCTCACCAATTCAATACTTGTCATTGGTCGGGATATGTGATCACGTCGGATATGTGATCACGTCGGGCTCACCAATTTAGGATTTGTCCTGGTGCGAACTTGACAGACGCAAAGACCAATCACTAATTATTCGAACTTGTTATATACCCACGAATACGAGACCAAGGAAGAACACGATAGCGTAGTCGGATGGAATAGTATATTTGGATGGTTGTGCCAAAATACCGATGCGTTCCAACTAACTGGCTAGAGAGTCGAATACGAGCAATGCAACGTAACACGACAGCGTGCCAAATGGCGAGGATGCTTGACCGGGTGCCTTCAGCTTAGCGAGTCCAGTTAAACTATCAAGGTCAGCATCAATGTCGAAAGTCGTCAAACCCTAGGCTATTGATTTTGGGGGAGTGTGTGACGCTACAAGTATGTATCAAGTCGATGTTAAGAGGATTCAGATGAAGTAACCTAAATCGGGAGTGCAGGAGAAGCGTTCCATGATACAACAACTCTTGGGGAACGGAGGATGTTTCTGCCATCTAACTTTCCATTTTCTAGGGCTAGTTTCTGTACTGATCCCCCGTGAGTGGTACTGGAAATAGGACAATATTGTCCATGGATGTTCAAGATGTTCTGAGCCTATGTCAAGTTCGCCCTTAGTCTTCTATATTCCAGGGGATATAGATCAGATGCGATCGGTAGTTCTTCATACGTTTTAGACCGAA